TCGTCTGCGGTTCTTAGGTTTGGCTCGCAGTTGCTTCTTGCCCTCGCAGTTGTTTGTTTGTGGCTGCAGGTGTTTCCAAAAACAGCAAGTGTTAATTAAACACCTGCAGGCCAGATTGGGACCTAGGCTGTTGAGGGGGTTGTCGCACCAACACTATTGCTTGCGCAAATGTCAAGACACGCGGATCGAGGACAATAAAACTATGAAATTGCTTATCGACTTTGTGTCAGGACAGCCGGCCCCCGCCCCCGCCCCCGCCCCCCCCGCCGGCCGCACACAAACACTTGTTTTTGTAAACAGGCTGTGGTCTGGGAGGAGGTCCGGGAATCCTTTCTCCCCCCCCCCCCCGGTTTTTTTGGAATTGTGTCAGAAAAAGGGGGCGGAAGGAGGGGGGGGCGAATCCTTAAATACAACGGTGTAAAAATCCTAAATGCAGCCCCCTTTTCCCGAATTTAAGGAAATCCGGTAATTTAAAGGATTCCTGGACCTCCTACCCAACCCACAGCCAGGCTGTTTACAAAAAACAGACACAAAGTCGGTCAGCAAAACAAAATGCGGTTTCGTAGGTTTCTTGCCCTCGATCGGCGTATCTTGGCATTGTAAACTGACAGATCCCATCGATACATTTATTTAAGTGTATATATATATACATATATCGGTATACTTGGATTACGTGCTGTTTGGGACGACACGAAAGCACTTTTTCGCCCTCAAAGCCGTCAAAAGCTGAAGCAGACTCGAGAGAATCTGCGAACACCTGCAAGGCCAACAAAGGCCTCCAGCAGGAGCTTCATATTGAGTCTCATCTTCTCCCCAGCATTGGTCTGCAGCACGTACTCCGCAACGTGCCCGTCCATGTGAGTCTTCTTGGCAGCCTGGTCTTTGGTATTCAAGGTACGCATGCGGGAATACTTCAGCCTATGCCACAGCTTGAACCTCCCAAATTCAGACTCAGCATCATTTGAATGCACACCAGTTTTCTTGCTCCGCAAAAATGGCTTGAATGCTGGCATTCCTTCAGCTGAAAGCTCATGGTCTTTGCCGCAGCTGCGGTGGACTTCCAGCCATCTGAAACAACAGTGCTCTGTGTGCGAATGCGGCGACGGAACACGGAAGTCAAACTCGCAGCCCCCCGCGGCTTTTTTGAAGGTGCCGCCTCCGGGTGTGACTTGGGGGAAGTGGAAAGACTTAGCGCGTTTCTTCCAGATCGTCTTGCATGGCAGCTTGGCTGAGCGGCTGCGCCCCAAGCTGTATTGCTTCCCAAGCTTCCTGCAGCGTCCGCAAGTGCCGAGGAACCTGCGCCCAGTCAATCCAGCAGTGAAAAGGATCCAAACACATGTTGGCAACAGTGGTCATCAAGCTGTCCGCGGCAGCCTGCGCGCAACTGAGAAAATCATGATCTTGGTCCAACGCATATGGGTTCAAATTCCACAAGGGCAACAAGTCCTCGCACACATCAGGGCATGGCTGACAACTCAGATGTAACAGTATAACGTACGTCAAGCAGTGACACACCTCGGACACCTGGGAATTCATTTGGGCAGAAAGAAGCCAAGAAGAACAAGCAAGAAGCAACACGAACATTGCAGGCTCAACCTGCAGATCTGCACGTGCCGGGAGCTCCTCAACTGCTATGGCGCCAAGCTCAGTGCGAAGAACATCTGGAACCTGGTTGGCTACAAAAAGACGGGCAAAACGGCCAAGGTCAAGAGGGCAGATCGGATGCGTGACGCCTGAAGGCAAAGGCCTGGGCGGAGGCTCGTGGCTACCGCCGGCCCACAGGCCCTGACGACTATTGCAACATCATCAGGCGCAGGGCCTTCGAGGTCCACTGCATGAACTTCCTGCACGGAATCAAAGTGTACCCATATATATATATATAATTTTCTGTATGTGCCCAATGGCAAATGGGTTAACTATCAATTAAATGTCCCGGCCTCACGGCATGATTTCAACAGCAATGACCTGAACCGCTTTTAGGACCTTAAACGTATCCCCTCTCAATAAGCAACCCTAATACTGAAAGTTAACAGGTTTCGGGCTGAAAAGTTTCCAAATCATATGGGCCAGGGCCTGGGCTTTGTGTTTTTTCTCTTCTTGCGCTGTGGCTCTCTTTCACGCAGCAAGCTCAGGTTGGGTAGTGGCAGGCTATCTTTCAAACCGCCACCTTGCCCCGCGCCACTTGAACCAAGAAAGGGTTGCGAAGATGCAACACCGCTGCTGGCTTCAGTTCTTCAAGCATAGATCTGAGTTACCCCTTGTCATTGGTCATATGTATATCTCCAAGTCTTCGTTTATTTATTGCTGTATTGAAACAAGCCAGCAAACTACTAGTTGTTTTCACCGATGTACCAACTTATTTACTTACTCACATGGTTCGCCCCTCATGAATTTCCAGTTGCTTGCTTAGTTGTTGATGCCCATGTCCATGTATTGCTGGATTTGTGTCTAAATGATTGTCTTTCCACATGCTTCCTGTCCAGCGTGCACGCTACGCACACTGCTTTATTTCAAGCATCTCCTTGCCAGGGTCAGCCTCCGGGCCAAGGCTTGCTTCAACTTACCTGCCCTTTGTCTTTGGGGATCTGCTGGTTCAAGCATAGCCTCCGCCATGTCCAAAGTATGAGTTTCCATTTGCCTCATGTCTCTCCACCTGCAAAAGCCCAATGAGCCTTCTTCTGTGCAGTGTTGTTTCGGGGCTCCCCCACATTTTCTTTCTCAAGCCCCGCATTGCTGTCTACTGGCACCTTTTCGCATTGAACTTTGCTCCTTCTTTTTTTGGCTGGGGCCAAACTCAAGCTTTTGCTGCTTTGGCTGGGTGCGGTTTTAAACTTTGTGTGAAACCCCTGAGAACTCTGTAAGTGACTGCCTTTCCATCTTTGTGGCTTTCTTTCAAGCTTGTGTTGAAACCACACTCCACGTCCGAGTCTTGCCAGCGGGAGCTATTCCAGCTGCGGTTCTTCCAAGGCATGGCTATCTTGCAAGCGCACCCCCACACACTTGTTGAGACTCAGTCTGCTGCTGGCAGCAAGTGCAACCTGGTTTGCTCAACGCCACATTATTGACAAGACTACAGGCATTACAAATTGAACCAAACTTGTATTACGAGAAATTGTTTCACATATTGCTTTTTCGTAGCGTAGGTTTTTCTTCAATGTTCACACGCAGTTTTTCTATATGTTTCATACGATTGCGTGTTCCACGTTGCTGCTGCTGGGCTTAACTGTGTGCTTCCTTTTAAGCGCGACAAGCAATGTGTGCAACCGGAATCAAAAAGGATGGGTTCATGTCATACTTTGATAGCAGCTCATGCCTTTGCTGCAAGGGCTTCTCTTTGGTCTTGTGTTGTTTGTTTGCGGACCCTTCCAGCGTTGCCAGTACTTTCCTGTACGCAGTTTACCCAGGCAGCTGCTGTTGCTCCTGCAGGCAAAGGTGATGCTGCTGCTGCTGCTGCTGCTGGCTTCTTCAAAAGGCGACTTCGTGGCAAGGCTAGCAGCGGCTTTTTGTCATTGTGGCTATGCTGTAGGGCAGTGCTTTGTTCATCATTTTGGTTCAAGAAGGATTGCAGCGTTTTGGGCCATTAGAGCGCCGGGGCAGCAAAACTTGCTTGCGTTGTTTGGGGAGCAGTAGTAGCAAACCTCGTTGGTAGCCTCATGCTGCTGGGAGTGCTGTGTCTGTTGCTGCCATCGCTCTTGGTAGCCTCCAGCATTGCTTTCCCTGTCCTATCAGTCTCTCTCGCAGTCCTCCTCCTTTGAGAAAGCAAATGAACAAACTTAGGCACCTGTCCCTGCCCTCAAATCATGCGCCCGCTGGCCTCCATTGCAGGCTTTGCAGCTGGCTGGCTCCCATGTCTCCAATCTACACATAAGAAGCACCAGCAGCCGCACCCTTGCCGGTGATTGCTTGGGTAGCTCTGCAGAAACCATACACACATAGGTGTACACCCAACTGATCAACTTTGGAAACAGCTTCATCAATTACATCGGGCAACTTGTTTTGGATTGTCACAATCAACCGCCTGCGAAGCCCACCCTGTCCAAGCACCTTGCAAGTGGCACTCAAGCAGAGCTGTGTCTCAAGCGCTTTACTGCAACAAAAAAACCTTAATAGAATAAGCAGCTAGTGCTTGGATCCAGAAGCCCAATTCTGACCAATAGTAAGAACCAATCCTGATCAAACAAATGAACCCTGACAAACTAGTTTCGTCAATCCTGACTAATCTGGCATTGGTCCTACTTTTCATTTCTGTATTGAAACATTGGTCACGAACAAGCGTTGGTCGTCAATAGCAATAGCGGACCCCCACGGGACGCCGCAGAAGATTGAGGCTTTGGAGATTTGAACAAACAGCTTCGATTGTGCGCAATCTCCGCCGCCATTGTAGCTTTAACAACTCGGATAGCGCGGGGGGAGGGGGGGGGTTTCTCGCGGTAGCCGAGCAGGTTTTGCCTCCTGTTCAGAGGAACAAGTCCACACCACAAGGCCTCGACTTCACACGAGCTGCCGCCAAAGCCCTAATGTGCGAAACTGGACGATGTTTTCAAGACTTGCCTTTGTTTCGAAGCTCTTCTCATGCGTTCGACAAGTGTGTCTCTGCAAGCGGCCGTGTCATTGGGAAAGGCGCCCTGAGCTCTCCCCACTAGAATGCAAAAGCTCTTCTCACACGTTCGAAAAGTCTGTCTCCAAAAGTGGCCGCGCCATTGGGAAAGGCGCCATGCAACTGCTCTTCTCACACGTTGCACGTTCGAAAAGTCCGTGCCAGTGGGGGACCATGTTCGAGAAATCTGTCTCCAAGCGTGGCCATGCCGTTGGGAAAGGCGCCCTGAGCTCCTCGCTAGAATATAACACCTCTTTTCGCACCGTCAAAAAGTCTCAGCGAAAGTGGCCTTGCCATTGGGAACAATAGGCGTGATTGACTTGAACAAAGGTTTTTTCGAGTTGGAACGTTGCCAACTCGCTGCGCAAAATTTCGTGCTTCGCACTGTGGCGCTTGCGCTGAGGTCTGAGCTCTTCTACGGCGCGCACCAGGGGAGTGTTGCTGCCTGTGCAAGGGCGGTGGCGCAAGGCGTCGGGTCGGAATTAGCGGCCGATGCTTGAGCGCAACAACCTCTCGTAGATTGACTGCGTGTCTTGCAACATTCGCACCGGCAACTGGGCGACGAATAAGTGTAGCTGAGCCCTGACGTGCCTGGAATCAATCGACCGGAGCAGTTCCTCGCTGGTTTATGTGGAGCTGTGTCGCAGTTTCCAAGTAGCATGAAGGGCGAGCTGCAAGTCAAAAGTCTTCTGCTTTGAGATTTCATGTCCCCAAAGAGGCTTGCCTTTCCTGTGTGTGGCTTGGCGCTAGGTGTGGACGTGAACGTCCGCACCAAGGCAGACCTTGACAGTGCTTGTGGCTAAGGGGTTGGTGGCGTGCCACTTGGTTGCCTGTCGTGTGAGCGTGCGTAATGTCTCTTTCGGAATGGTGCCGTCCGCCAGTTGCTCAACATCTCCTCCAGTTGCTTTTGTTAAAAGTTGTCCATTTTGGAATCGGCAAGGTCGGTGTCGGCGCCACTGCTTTGCACGTGACAGCTGTCCGGGGCCATGAGGAGCCGGCTCCAAGCGATGGCATTCCCGAGGTGACATTCAAGTCCAACACCGCTTAGGTGTGGAAACGCGCAAGCTCAACGTGGAATACTTGACTGTTCGTGAGATTTGGGTCAGACAATGAACTCGTATTTGCTGGCATCAAGGTGGTATGCTGTGTCAGTGTGGACGCGCAAAGATTGTCCCTGAAGTCATTTGTGCTGATTGCGGCGCCCACTTGAGTGCTGAATGATACACGTGTCCTTGCGCGCCTGTTTTTCACTGGGCCTACACCAGTCCCCCAACCTCAGTTACTAGTTGGCGAGACGGCAGCAGTTACTATGTGGCCCTCTCTATGCTATGTGGGTAGCAAGTTCGCCACGCGCATGGCGCGTTTATTGTAGGTGGAACAAAGCCATGTTCGACGGGGAGCTTGGCGAGGTGACGTAAGGCAGTTGGCAGAGTTAGCTAGCTCTGGGCGTGCTCATCAACTTCGGTGGGGCGAACTATACTAGGTTGGCCCAGGCGTACTTACCAAGCGCGCCAAGTGCAGCACGTGCCCCCAAAAACATCGCGCCAAGTTCACCGTGGCGAACTTAGCAAAGTCCGCCAGCTGTGCGTACCAAGTCCGCCGTCTAAGATAGCAAGCTTGCGCTATGTTTGCCAACCGCACTGAAATAGCTATATCGGCCAAACAAAGATAGTAAGATCGCCCCCAATTCTGCTTTCTAAGGTGTCCATCAAAAATATGCGGCAGGACGTGGCAGCCGGTTTGCTGCGGGCAAAGGCGGATGCCCTGGCCCTCTCAGGCGCGGGCTTGTGGGGCAGATTTGGCAGAGGGGTCTTGCGACAACACGCGCGTCGTGGGTGGCTACGTGGCGCCTATCCTGTAGATTTTGCCCAAGACTTTCGGGCGCAGACTCGGCCAACAAAAGTCCGCTTCGTTTTAGAAAATGTAGAATTCGACTTGCCAACAGCGTGTAAAGCCTCATGATCTTTCCACCGAACCGCACTTAGGGCCGTATGTTTCCATGCGAAAAGGGGAACCTTGAACGCCTAGAGCCGAAGTAAAGGCGGGCAAGCATGCTTCAATCAAACGCCCCTAGGCTCAAAACCTACAGCCAAAACCCCTGTCACCGCCAAAGCCCCGGGGCCAGAAATGGGAAGAGTGTTTTGCGCAAGTGCTGCGTGGGAGTATGGTCTGCAGGTTTGTGGCAAATCTTTGCCCCTCTTGTCAAGAGACACCCATTCGCATCTATTTGCCTGCGCGAAGTTGCGGTAGCAGCGATTCTTGAGGAGCTTGTGTCGCTCTTGCCCTGTCCAATGCGCCGACGGACGGCACGGCGAAACCCTGCTTCTCGGGAGTTGCTCTGACCGATGAGGAAAGCGACTTTGTTGGGGGGGTGCTTGAGTTCCGATTTGCAGAGTTGTCTTGTTCTAGGCTGTGCCCAACTTCTGTTTTGTCACTTGCTGTAGATTCTGTTTTTCTCACAGTTTCCGATGCGCGAGCGCCTGTTGCAGATGATGCTTGCAATGCCGGGTATGCTGGTTATGTGTGTGGTGTTTGCTGGTGATGCTGGAGATGCTGCTTGGTGGTGTTGGTACGAATTTGTGTGCGTTGCGTATTGCGTGTCGTACGCATGTTTGGCAGGAATCCTCACGGCATCAGGAGGGTATTCGAAATGCATACGAAAGGTGTGCGAAATGTGCACCATGTTGAGCATGTTGCACACATGGCTGGCTCTAGCTGTGTGCGCTGTTGGCTCTGGCATCTGCCTTTCAACTACGGTTTCAATGCGCTTGGTATGCCTTCACACTGCATGCTGTTTGCATTTTGTACGCACGACTACGCAGGACAGACGTGCAACATGCGCGCTGCTTTTGTTGTGTGAGCATTTTTCGTATGTGTTATTTATTTGCGTTGGATTGCATTGTTAGTTCATTTTACGTTGTGCGTGTTAGGAAAGGTATGTCGCAACGCGTACAAAAGGCATGCGAAATGAACACGCAATTTGCGTGTGTGTGTGTGTGCGTGTTGCGCACGTTTCTCTGCGTTTTGTATGACACTGGCCTGGTGTCTGTCTGCATTCTTGCCGAACCCCCCCGCCAAAAAAACATTCAACACCCGCGCAAGATGCGTACAGAAGGCAAACAAACAAGAAGCACGTAGCATGCAGTTCTGTGCGCATTGTGTATCTCTCATGCTTCTTCATTTCTATGCATTTTCTATGCATATTGTAGGCATTTCGTAAGTGTTCAGAATGCGTACAAGGGGATTTCTTGCGTACATTGTGTTTGCATTTTTGGCCCTGGCTGTTTGCATGTGTGGCTCTGGCATCGCTGCCTTGCGACTACACTTTGATGCGCTCTGTCTGCCTTCCAGCTGCACACCGTTGGCCTTTTGTATGCGTTGCGCAGATCCCATGCACACCCCTACGGTTTGTTTGCATTTTCTACGCATGTTGCTTGCATGTGTTGTTGAGGTTTGAGTCCCTTCCAAATCCTTTCACTATGCGTGTAACATGCGCACAAAAGGCACACGGCACGCTGCGCGAGCTTTGTGTGCATTTTGCATGTCCTGTATGTCTGCGTTTCCGTGCATGTTGTCTGCAAGTTGTGTGCATTCTGGGCACACAACACGCAGGCAAACGGCTTCCAACACGCATGCGCGTGTTTGTTTGCAACTATGCTGCATGCATTTCGCGGCGCTGGCTGCAGCTTTCGCATGGCTATCTCCAGACTACATGCGGGAGGGGCGATTGCCGGACTGAATGGCGTTCACTCTTTGGACGTGGGCTGGGATTCTGCAAATCCGGCGCAGATAGCACTTCAAATTGCAATTTGGCATTTTCACGGGACGAGTGTGTTTCGTGCATGGCAGTGATTACATTTTGAACGGGTATTGTATTCGGATGCTGTCCACAAGCATACGACATGCGCGCGAACGCATGAAAAAGGCATACAACATGCGTGCTCAATCTGTGTGCCGTTTGTTTGCATCTGCGGCATGTAGTTCTTAGTGTATTGTGTGCGCATGTTTGGTGGCATTCGTTTTCTGCGCCAACATGATGCCAAAAGTGCACGCAGCGCGCGCAACAAACATGCAACATGTATTCGTAAGTGCGTGCTTTATGTACTTAATGTATGCAACTTGTACGCATACTGTATGCGTTGTGGGCACACAAAACGCACGCACGAGGCAGGCATGCGCATGTTTTTGTGTCTTTCGTTTGCTTGTTTGGCTCTCACAAGGCTACCTTCAGACCAAATGTTGCATGCACGTTGTACGCATCCAACGTGCATTTAGTGTGTGTTTTTGCAGGACAGGTATTGTTTCATGCGTGGCGCATGGATTTTGTTTGCGTTTGCATGCGTGTTGTATGCATATATTGTATTCGGACGCCTTCCACATGCGTACAACATGTGTACGGAATGCGTGCAACAGGCGCACAAGCCGCATGCGGCATGAGGTTTCCTGTGGTACTTTGAAACCTCATGCCGTACTTTTTGTATGAGTTGGAACGCATTCTGCAAGACAGGTGCGTGTCATGCATGGTGCACGGATTTGCTTATGTCTTTTGCGCTATATGTATATTGGGTGCACGGTTGGGTTTGGCCTGGAAGTCTTCTCAACACGTACAAAACGCAATCAAAAGGCATGCAACGTGCACGCTGCATTGTTGCGTGCGTGCTGCTTGCATTTTGGCTCTGGCGCAGCATGAGTTTTTGTGCGCACGTCGCACGCGTGATTGGCAGTGGCGTCACTACTTGGCAACCTGCAAGAAAAGCAAAGTTGAGAGAGTATATTTTTGCATAACACTGCACAAGCGTGTGAGGCGGGTGTCCTTTTTGAATGATGCCGAAATTGTGTTCGCCTTTTTGTATGCGTTTACTTGCATTATTGAGTTTTCTGAATATGGCCTAGTGTCCCCTGCTTTCCTTGCTTTGCCTTGTTTGCCCTTGCTTCGCATTGCTTTGCCTTGCTTGTTTGCTTTACCTTCCTGGTCACGCACTGGGCTGGGCGGAGCATCGCACAGATTTAGCAGCGAGTCCATGGTCACGGACATGGCTTCCGCGAACGAAGCACCAGGGCCCAAGCAGCCACAAAAAACAAGCTGCCGGGTGTTGGCGCAAATCATCAGCGAACGACTGGCTCGTGCCGTGAACATAATGCTGACCATGTGCTGGAAGGGATCACTTGGGCAGGGGTGCTGACCATGTGTTGGACGGGATCACTTGGGCGGGGGTGCTGACCATGTGTTGGACGGGATTGCTCTCCCTTGCTTTCCCTTGAATTGCCTTGCAAGGCATTCCCTTTGCTTTCCCTTCGCACCCATGCGCAGTGTCTTTCCGTCGCTGCCTTGCTGGTTTGCAGCTTGCGCGTGCTTTCAGCGGCTCAGCTTGGCACATTTGTTTGAGCCTTCGCAAGTGCTGTTTAAGCACATTTTTTGCGGTTTTGCTGGCAGGCTGAGCTCACCCAAGCAATGTTTCAACCTCGTTGCGACCCTTCCCCTATCCCCCTTTCTGCCAGACTGCCTCAAAGCTTTCAGGCTCCCAGGCTGCCTCAAAGCGCTTCTATCTTGGTTAGGAGTGTGGCCGGCGCACTATGGTTTGCCAATGGGGCAGAAACATGTCAAGCGGTTTAGGACAATTCCGATCGTTCCCGAATTCCGTGGCTAAGGGTGGCTATCCTCCGTAAAGCATCAACATGCCTAACGGCAGGGGCCTGAAAAAGTTGTCACTTTTGCTTCGCCACTTCCTCATATCTTGCGGGGCCCCTTTGCTACGCCAAGGCTCGAAAGTGCCAACCTGAAAGCGCGCGCAAGCCCTGCGAACCAACGGGCGCGGAGGGGAAACAGAGGGAATGCCTTGCAAGGCAGGGCAAGGGAAAGCAGTGCAAAGCAATTCGAAGCAAGGCAAAGCAAGGTGCAAAAGACATACAGAATGCATGCTGCATTCTTGTGTGCCTTTGGTACTTTGAAACTTCATGTCGTATTTAGTTTGTATGAGTTGGAACGCCATTCTGCAAGACAGGCACATGTCATGCATGGTGCACGGATTTGTTTATGATTGTTGGGTTTGGCCCGGGTTTCTTCCAAACGCAAACAACATGTGTACAAGAAGGCATGCAAAAGGCACGCGGCATGCATGCGTTTTTGGCCCTGGCGCAGCATGCGCTTTTGTACGCGCGTTGTGTGCGTGATTGGCTGTGGCTGTTTTCCAACCTGCAAAAAAGACAGCTTGGGAGTGTGCGTTTTTTGCACAAACACTGCGCAAGCATGTGAGGCACACAGCAAATGGGAGTCGTTCTAAAGGTCCTTGCCAGGAGGTTGCCATTGATGTTGGTTGAGGCAGCCCCCGCGAAAGATGCGCGATGCTTTCTGCGAAAGCAACTTATTGTTTCGCGACAGTTTTGCGTAACTGTATCTTCTAAATGAGTGATTTGTGAAAACTCATGTTTCCGTCCTTCTGAGGTGATTAAAACTGTTGTTTCTTCCGCCGATAAAGCCTGGTGAGGTTGCAGTTTGACACCCTGCTTGGCTGGTTAGCGCTTCAAGAGTGTGTGTGTATATGTGTGTGTGTGTGTGTTTGCGCGTGTGTTTGTCTATGTGTGCTAGTCGGCGGGTGGTTTTTCGCGAAAGTTCCGCGAAAGCCCGCGCGAAAGCGTAGGTTTCGGAAAGGTACTTTCTGAGCGCGGCGCTAGTCAGTGTACTAGCTTGCGACTTCAAGCTGGAGCTGCGCCCCTTAACTGCCTGGACTGCCGAAGTGCATTTGCACTGGTGCTCAAATTTGCGACTTTCCAGCCGGA